TCAGGCATTGTCCATACCGTCAGTACACGCACGTTCACCGATCATATTAATTAACGCGCAATTCGTCTCGCACAATTCAGCATTCTCACGGTAATATATGAAACATCGGTTTACACTTTGAATCAATGGATTTGAAACCACAGTATTGAATAGTGAATAGTTAATTGGGTAAGTGATTATGAACTTTTCAAATTAGATGCAAAACAGTGAACCCGTAATGAATGGCCACCTTCGAGACCTTGTAAATGACTGTTGTTTGCTTATTAAGAGTACTATCGATCTGCCTAATAGCTGTTTAGTAGTATCAAATAGGATTAGGTCAATAGGATATGCATGGACTGTATGATTATCTGACTGTGACTTATGTTATTAGCTGGCAAACGGACTTGCAAATTCGGCCGACATGAGGCTACATCAGCGAGTAGAAAAATAGGCGACCTCGAATATGCTGCACCATGATTCTGAGGAGACGAAATTTTATCTCCGAGAGGTTATGAGAACACGGTTTTTTTGGAAACGTGCCTGCATATCTAGGCTACACAGTTGATGCTCTGCCAATTGAGCTGCCCATTTCTGCGAGACGAAAATCGCGTAAATTGTTTAGAGAAATGCATCCTATTTGACCTTTACTTGCCCTCATATTGCCATTTTGAGTGATGTTGTTTTAAAGCCTCTATAGCTCTTATAGATGTACCATGAAGATCTGTTAATGCATTTTAATCGCAACTATATAGCGCGCCGGGGTCTCCATGCAGAAAAATGTTGGATTGTGTATTGCTTGAAAAACCCGCCGAATACAAACGCAAAATGTAAACCTAGAATGATTGCGGGCTGTAGCGAGAAAAAAACAGTCTTACCATGATTAAATTGTTTCTCTTCGTGAAGATACTGCAAAAAGAACATCGTAACCAAATTGATTCAGATAATTAGAAATACCTATTCTTTCGTAGACGTGTACAATTGTACATTTATTGGACTGGTACATAATGCAATTATGCAAACTGAACAAATTCTAAATTATTATGGTTTAGCATTAGGTCGTCCCACCATGCGATACGCGTCGAAACTAGGTCTTAATACCACAATTGGTATTCAACCAATTTTGCGTGAATAACACCAGGATCACGAGGCAATTATTAGCCGTGATTTACACACAGAGATCAGCACGACCTGGGTTAATCCCGTACTCCACTAGGCGAATTTATTTCCGCGAAGCGAAACGTGAAATCAAACAGTGTGATTTATTTGCAAAAGTAAATTTGTTGTGAACACTCGTTCCCAGCCTTCACACTTGACCCGTTTCAACTTGCATCATGATCACGACTTTCGTTGACCTGTCCCTGGGAATTGTGAAAACAACTGTAACATTACCTTTTTTTATCCATAAGTGATAAAGTGTCCTGACTATTTGTCTTGGCATTCGATTGCACACGACGACAGGTTACTATTTACTTCCCGTCCCAACTGTTACCAAGACGTTCCGCAGCCATATAACTCAGGCATGCCGATTGTGATGCCATACTTCAAAATTATCGCGTTGAACTGGGATTTACAGTGTCCCTTTTCGATTTGGAATCGTGCCTGCAGACAACAATGACTGAAACAAAATTCATTAACCCAGGTCACATGGGCGTTCGCGGTTCGTCGGCGTTTTATGCGCCAATTTTATGTGCTTTCTGAAAACCAATTCACTGTGGCGACCTCCCGTTCCGATAGCTCTCTGCTTTACTCTTTCAGGAAATGTCATAGGAACATGTGCGATTTTCGATGTAAACGAGTGAATTAGTTATGGACGTTCAAATAAGATCAGTGAAGCATTCGTAACCAATCACTTGTTCTCATCAAACAAAAAATTAGAAAATCACACCGAAAATTGTAAAACAAGCATTGAGTCGGGGGCCGGTTGTTCGAAAGGCGTTTAGCTTAAACGGTGGTTAAAGCTGAAGTTTAAAAATACTCTAATAGATCTTGGGTATGGCTGAACTTGCATCTTATGCGTTTAATTTGTACTTCCATTAAAAATTAAACTATTTACATCGAAATATTTCAGCTCGGTTGTTCAATAAATCGATGATTTTGTTTTCTATTTTGAACTTATATATCCACCGTTTACGCTAACACCTTTCCAACAACCGCCATTGGAACATTGAACACCATTGGAGTCTATGACGTCACAATAAAATCATGAATTTATTTGCTACTTTCATTTTCACGCTAAAACGGTTTCAAACACCGTCGATTTTCAACAGAAGTTGAAACTTTAACATATCAAGCATATTTTCCCTTGGTTCGTATGGGCATCAAAACGATAAAGACAAGAATAATTTGAAAACGCTTGAAAACGACGCTCATGCAATAATAGCCTTGGTGCAATAATTTGTTTAACTGTAAATCATAGCTAAAATAGGATTGATCTTCGCTCCTTAAAAACATATCGGCACATTATGTCTCATAAGTACTTTATTTATTTATTAGGCTTAGAAAAGCTCGATAGCGGGTCGTTCTTGAAGTGGTCATATTTTGTGATTATATTAAGGCTGTGTAAGAGAACAAAGTAAACTACTAAATCTAATGATCGAACTCACAATCATTTGCTTTTAGCCAGTGCTGCACTGCTGCTGGCTGCTGCTATTACCTTTTAACGGCAAAAAATGTCGTGACCAGCGAATAGACCTTTCCCCTTTTATCTTTCAAGCGCGCAACGCGTGACGGTAGTTGATTATATCAAGGTCAATTCGAGTTGTTATTTCGCTATGTTCAGGAGCGATTTAGTTTAACAAAGAAGCAAAACGAATCGGCAAGGTTTTCTTACAAACAAAATCGCTTCTAAGCAGAGCGATATCGCAACTCAAAGTTGCTTGATAATCAACTCCCGTCACGCATTGCGCGCTTGAAAGCTAAAAGGAGAAAGGTCTATTAGGTGAATCGCGCAGCCAAGGACTAATGATAAAACGCCTACGGCTTAACTTAGTATCTCCATGCAATAAAACTGTCATCTGGACAGAAACTGACATTCACTTATCAAGCATTTATCATCCTGGTATTTATCATCCTTTTTCTAACGATGCGAGGAGTTTGAGTTCTGTCATACCACAATTGTATGTGGCCAGTGTTTTACTTGAAGTTTTCATGGTAATAAACGTTTTTGGCATGACCCCGTGATAAACCAGTATTTTAACGGTTAACCGATACGCCAAATGACATAGATTTTTTCAAAAAAAGCTCGGACAGGTAATTGTTGAGGACTGTTGCGAATTACACGAAGACGAACCTAAAAAGGCTTCTCAGCTGAAAAAGTTCACAGTTTGTGTGTTTAGCTTGATTTGGTTCGCACCTTCTCAGTACAACCATCTGAAATAAATTAGAAATAAATTAATAAATTTATTTCGCGCCAAATATCGCGTACGGATGGACTCGATAGGAAGTGCCCCAGAGTATATATAGCTTTATTCGTAAATTATCTCGGATATTATGATACGACAATCCAAGTTGTCTAAACTAACACTTCGCTTCATTTGAAGTGTGGTCTGCAATGGCAAATGCTTTTAATACACAGCCAAATACATCCGGAATCCGAATGAACAATGAACGTTGTTTAGTTAAATTAAATTTTATACCACTTAGATTGAAATAAAAACGCTGACTGCATGGGTCAAATTTTAACGGAATGCTTGTTTTCAGTGAACAGGGAATCGTATAATTAATGTCTGTTCATAGATAAATGTATATTGGGACTCAAATTTAGTTCCCACAGTCTCTCCCATGCTCCCCTGTCTTGCTCTCCCTACGGGGTATTGATGACATAGTGATTACTGCATGTTTCGTTTGAGAGTTTCATCTCCCAGCCATTTCAAGATCAGTGCATGGAAACGTTGTAGAAACAATAGAGATATGCAGACATCCAGTGTAAATAATCAGCCAGTTTTATTATCATTAATTGGAATGTCAAAGTCAGTGTTAGCTTATCAACATTAATCAGGTGTGAAATGAACCATTTTGCTTCAGCCACATACTGACATGAACATTTACCGAGCATCAAACTCCTTGATATTTATCTCGCCTTTCAATCTGCAGTACATCACCTCACGAGTATAAACATCTCGAGATTTGACTCAGTGTGTGATATAAATAAACTGAACTGTACGTTTGGAGTTTTGGAATCTCGGATTGGTGAAGAATGCATTGCATTCCCATAAACGTAAAAAATCTAGAACAAAGAACATTAATATAACATTGCTTCCTGGTCATCTCTATCAGATTGGAAACTGTGCGAAACTAATGAAGGAACAAACTCTCACTTTCCCACTCGATTACTAGATTGTTTCTAAATACTAGGCAATCAAACTAGAGGTTTCCTGGTAGCAAACAGTTTATCAAACGGCAGAGACACTTGAGCCTGGAAATAATTGTCAGGTTTCTGAATATATGTCCGAAGAAATTTTTGGGCCAATTACAACAAACATTCCACAATCATTCAGTGAACAGCTGGTAAACCGCTGGGAAAAGCAGCGGTTCTTGTATGATCGCAACAGATTACGACTGAAACCCCAAGTCTACTGCCGAAAAATACCGGCCCTGAATTCTAAGCTGGAGAATTTCAGTTTTCGTTGCTTCGATGCTCACTGCAGGACTGTAGCGTTGGATCTATGTATACTTCTGCAACGTAAATTATTGTTTGGTTTTAGTGAAAATAACATTTGTACTACTGAAAATCCGGATTATACGATCAAAGGCTCTGTAAAGTAAATAAACCGAATTTTTTTTTCTTAAAACAAATAAATGTGTGGAACTTATGAACGATGAGTCCAGTTCCCCAAGCCAGAACTCTTTCGCTTTTATACACGCACCTGATGCAAATTAGGCAGTGTATAATACCAACTGGATGTCCAGAGAAACTGCAATGTGTCCTAAGGAAGCAACGTTATAACCAAATTTAGTATTCTGTTCTTCAGATCCTTCATTCGTGAGTGCGTGTGTTCTAACTTCAATTTATATTTTAGGGTGATTGTTGTTCCACGCACCGTGCCTTCGCTAAAATATTGTTTTGATTGGGTAACCACTTGCATACCCTGAGGGCTCGACCTGCAGTGCTAACTCTCAACTCTGCCGGTCATCCTATACACCCAAATTAACCTCGTTAGTTGGTGCTGTACTATCAACCTCTTCTCTGCGGAAAGCAACGACACGAGTACTTCGCTGGCAAACATCGACGCCGAGTAACTATGGATTTAGCACCAACGAGCACATGGTTATTGCTAATTCAATTCGCCACATTTATCCCTACCTATATTATTGCACATGGAAACCAAATACACACCAGTAATCGTAAGTGACTTTATTTTGTAATTGTCTTAATTCTGAATAATTTCAATGCAAATATGTAAAAAAACTGTTACGTCGAAATTAACCAGATCGCGCAGTTAATTGTACTTTTTTAATAAATTAACTCCAGACTAGCCCTCGTTATTAACATTACTGTATGAAAATATTGGGCGTTTGTAAACAATGCATTACTAAGGATACAAAGAGTAAATGTAATTTTACAAATTTGGATGCTGGTTAGATTGCTCGTACAGACTCGATGGTTTGATGTTAGCAAATGCCTAGTATACAATAGACCTCATTTAATTTTAATTTATAACTTGTTCACGCTCTGCCAATTGGGATATCAAGTAATATGTGGATGCAAAGCATCTGAAATTTACTATGGCATTGCCGTGGCATTTGTTGTGAAGGTAGACGCTTCTGCTCGATTAAGAAAGCTCTGAAAATATCCTCCACATGTTTAGTCGATGAGACAAAAATAACTTTTATTTTCAGACGCGCAAATCAGTGCAAGAATATCGAACGTGTTTCGGATCATCGATATCACCTCACCGCAGCGAGTCACAACAAACAGAAGTCGACAAATGTCAAACCATTTCCTAACCTTCGCTCAAAGAAACCACGAGGGAGAAATTCGCTACAATTTAACAGCATTCGGGCAAAAGTTCCATTTCGTTCTCAACCCAGAAAGACGGTTTATAGCTCCTTCGTTTTACATCGAAAATTACTCCAGCAACCAAGCGAAATCAATTCCGTCTGGTGCTGACCTATCGCACTGCTTTTATCGGGGGAGGGTACACGACGATGCCGCGTCATCAGCTGTTTTTGATCTGTGCAACGGCATGGTGAGTTTTTTTGCATAGTTGTGTGTATTTCTGCAAATCCCGTTTCAATTTTTTATTTTGTCTAACATTTAATCGGGTTCTAAGTATTTTTTTAACGTCCGACCTTACCTTATCTAGGGGCATTTAGTCGAGTTTTCAGCGCAGGGCACACGAAATGCCCTCCATTTCCGGTCTGAGGGAAATTTGCATATTTTGCGCTCGTCACTTGGGAATTGGCCGTGATTTCAATGCGCATGTGTTTGTAATTTTCAATTTGCATCTTCCGCGGTTTTATCCGTGTGGAAAGGCATACGCAGATAAAGTGATACTGTAATAGCACTTCAATCGGTGCGCTTTGCGCTTTGATTACATGAAGTGGTTTGCACATTATCCGTTCCCAGTTCGGCTGAGTGCGCAGTGTTTTCCCCAAATTTTTGCAAAGTTTATAAACGCTTGTCGCCTCAGACTAGGAGTTTTCCAAATTTCTATTTCACAGTGGGAGCGCAATAAAACATATTTTCCCGGTTTCCGTTTCTTGTACACTTCAAGCATTTTATAATGGTGACTCGTTTGCTAAACTATTCACATTTAGATGGGATGAATCTATTTTGTAAAATCGCGCTTTCCTTTTGGATTCCATATGAGATCAGCTAAGCTCGTTCCCCCAACTTTACTTTAGGGGAAGACCAGGGTACCTGGTTACCCGCGGAAATCCCGTCGTGTTTGGGAGCTAAAACGAAAGCGTCAGACAACTGCATATTACAGCAATCAAGTTCAGGTCAAAAAGGTGAAAAGCACATACACTAACCGCTGCGATACCCCTGGAATAAATTAATATTTTGTCCATATGAAATTGCCGCAGCCGAAAAGAAGGAAATTCTCCGTCAAACAGAAAACAAATCTTTTGCATTTAATAGAATCGCCTTTTGATATGATGTGTTAGGAAATTTGAGTCGCAAAATGATATATTTCGATTCCCGTAATGAGTAGCCACCTAATCATTTCACATAATTCCTAAATCCTTTTATGGTAACACTTAACCATCAGACTATTCTGTGGATAAAAAAACTATATCCAATCTAGATTAGAAAAATCAAGAATATCCGTCATCTTTTGCATTACGCTCGTGATAACACAACAATTATCTAAATGATCAATATCAAATGGATATTCTCCTGTTGTAAGATGACAGGTCATTCATTTCTCTTTGCACCACAGGGTTTACAATTACGCATTCATTTCCGGGATGAGAAAATCACAAAATCGTGACAGCGTACGATCATATATATATATTGAAAACACCTCAAAGCTGTTGTTTATTTTTCTATCTTAATCCCATCTATATTTTTTCCCATCCAATAAGGATTTCCTCTAATCTGGGTATTTTACTGCAGACTTTTTAGGGTAATCGATTTTGTTTTTTCACCATAGGGCGCTAGTTATCCTAGGATTTGCGCTGAAATTTTTGTATATTATCCGTCTTTCACCAAAGGCTCTTGAGCCAAGCAGCGACCGCAGGAGGTTTCAAGTGTTATCGGAAGCTATATGTAGTTTTAAACTCACAGGAATTTTCCTAATGATAATGTAAATGATACACTGTAGTGACCGTACAATTCCATATTGTCCTTGTGATGATTATGGTCGTTGTATTTGTCATTGTCTTTTTGTTGTTGCTGCTGTTGTCTTGGTTGCGCGTTGGTGTTGTTTTTCTGGTTGTACTGTATTGAAGGTGGTTCTGATGTTGTTGTTATGCTGTCGTAATCGCTTGGCGTTTCACTTCTTGTTTGTGGTTTGTTTTGAAGAAGTTAAGACAGTTAAGTTGTCAACGACACTGTCGATCACGATGCCTGTGTCTAACGGGCCTTTGAACCTAGCGAGCATTCCTTGATCCAATGAAATTATTGGTTCTGGGCTAGTTAAAATATCCGCCGAACCTGCCCCGTGTATGACGCGTGCGTATAACGACACGACAGGGATCAATGAGTTGCCGGGCCACACAGCATTGTAGGAAATCACTGGGCGGTAGAGTTATAACATTTTCTTCTCAATTCCAGAGAGGCGCGTTCAAAACTCGTGATGGGGTATATCTCATTCAACCGCTGATTCAAAACAATCCGGGACTAGATGAATCTGGCTCAAGCAGCCGACGTCACGTGGTTACAAACCACTCAGCATCGTTAACGCAACCAAGTGGACATTTACTTTGTGGCCTTGGTAAGTACAGATCTCTCTTATACGCTTTGGATAAACTGACTCAATTTTATTCTTGTTATCTCAGTCGGTTCTAAGATGTTGTCCCCTACCAAGTCCTGTAGGCGATATGCTTTCGTGCAGACGAACATGCAGTACTAACGTTACGGGGTTGTGCAAAATGGTTAGGAACATTCCAACTCTACCCCCCTCCCTTACGTCTCCCTTGTGCGTTACGAAAAATGTGCGTTATCTTGTTTTTACTTAACACTGACGACAAAAAAACTTTTAAGTGTCAAATCAATCTCATTTTATGTCGAGCCCGCCTTCCACAATGATTTGATTGATTTATAGCTCTACATAGTTCCCTTAGAGTAGAAATTTCAGTGTGAATTGACTTTTAAATCATTATGATATACGATGATATGCTGACTGGTAGATTATATGCATTAAAATTACGTGTTTTTCGTCGCTAAGTATATAATTCAGCATTTCATATGAACAAGTTTTGTTATACATGCCAATTTGGCATCAAAAACCCGACTGACTTGTCGGCAAAGAATAATAATATTGCGCATAATATTTATCTTACCATCGCAGAGTATTTTATAAAGCGATTCTTGGTGCGGTCAGCTGTGTGGCCTGCAGACCCAAATCAAGATTCCAGCGTGCGCTCACTTGTGCTCTCAGCCCGAAATGTTACTTTCTTTTGTTATTTTTTCCCGTTTTAAACTATCACGCACTGTAGAGTATGCTGTTCATTTAAGACCTATATCACCAATAGTTTATAAACACCGTAGTACTTATTATTCTGGGAACGCCAGGTGCTTTTTCAACATTGTAAATCTCTTTTAAACTGTACAACAGCTCCGTCAAAATCGCATCCAAATTTGTGTTTTTCCGTCATCTCGTTCGATAACTTGTGAACTAAAATCCAAATGAAAAAATTGAGTAAAGCAATGTCATGATGTCATGATAAGTTAACCATAAAGATGGGTTTTTCACACATAATTGCTGCCATTTCTTCAATGGAGTTGAGACTAGCATTCGGGCCTTCAAAACGGATCAAAACTGTTTAAAAATCTACAACAAATTCTGGCAAATTCCTGATTTATATTTTGTCAATAAATCACATCATGTTTACTTTTACCTAACTTTCTGGCACGGTTCCATGTGTTTACATTTGATGGCTCGATTATCTCCGCAACGTAAACCGAGGCCACAGTAAGTTGATCATAAAGACTCTAGCAGCATGTTGTGAATCTCACGGCGCCGTCTGAGAGCGCACGACTTAATAGGATTTCACTTGTTGTATATTCTGTGTATAATGAGCGTCTCTGACATATCATAATTGCGCAGATCAGGAATTTTTCGTCAATCCACTCGTCCTTCGTCACTTATCCTCTACTCCGCGCCGCGTAATGCTAAATCATGTACTGTTTTTGACACTGTACGTTGCGAAAAAAGTAATTACTTTATATAGCATATGACGTTTTGCCGCGTACCCTTTTTATGATTAAGTTGATTACATCCACCAGGAGCCGGTTGTATGAAAGCTGGATAGCGCTATCCAAGCGGTATCCACCGGATAGTATATTCTTAATCACTCAAAAAATGCTCTTACCGATTCTGGTTAACTAATGTCAAATCTCTGTGCTCTTAAATGGTGGTTTTTCAAATTGGCTCTTAATGTATAAAATGCTTTTCAAACATTTTGGTATCTTATGGCGATAATTAGGCATTGGTATTGCATTGCAAGTTGCGGCAAAAATTTACCCCATCTTTAGGTTGTTCTCAAAAGAAACTGGGTGGGAAAGGCATCCAAATCTTTCATTGCCAAATAGGATGTTTATCGAGCGCTATACATGAATACCAATCGATAACATACTCATACTGTGTGAACATTTTTAAAGCAGACAAAAAGTCTAAGTAGTAAATAATGATATCTTGTCACAGACATTACCAGCTAACGCCATACAATGAACACTTCCGTTCACCGGGCCTGATTATCTGTTTAAATTTATATCAAACAGACCCCTATTGAGCTGCAAGTTATTCACTAAACTTCCATATCCTCGGGGTTAAGATTTCCAGTTCGATAAAATTGTTTGAAAGAAGAAATATATATATCACAGGTTCGCAGAAATGCTATAATATAGTTTGGTAGTGTAGTTGAATCAACTGTAAGCCATGGCATTTACATCGTTGAGTATCAAAATCACTATTACCTCCTGTTGATAAATACAACGCCTGTAGTTCTGTCCTAGAGGTTTAATATGCGCTAATTTTCCACCTTAGAAGGGAAGGAAAATCTATTACTCGCTATGTTATCAAATAGTCCAAGTCCTTTTCGATTGTAGGGAATTATGGCTTTGAACTGAAAGACTGAAAAATCCACAACGAAAATTCAATTATCTAATCTTTGTTTTACATGCATGGGTATATAACAAAGGAAAGACTATATACATAGCCGGAAATACAGTTATTGGGAGGCTATAATTGTTGTTTTATCAGTTTTACCTCTCCTTGACTTCCTAAGCAGCAGAAAAAATGCTTTACACAATTTATCTCGCGTATTGTACTGCGGTATGAAAACATTTCACTTGTATAGTATTAAAATAATAAAGAAAACATTGTCGCGTCAGAGATTGAGGGACTTCACCGTCTTTTATATGCTTAATGTAAACAATTTATTTTATAAAAAACTTCGCTGCTGCGCGATATTTCAATATTTCTCGAACTTTCAGCATGATCACGGCGTGCCTGCACTAAAACTGATTTACTATCTGGGTGGCCTGTGTTTACTATCAAGCTATACGATCACACTGTTGAAGTTTTTCTTGGCAAAGTATGTTAACGCAAGCGTAGCGTACAAGGGTTGGGGGTAACGATACTCTTGATAAATATTTTACGAGCTCAGCGCCTAGATCTCGATTGTCACCATACACAGTTACAGTTCAGACTGTTCAGTATTATGGAAATTCATTCCAACACTCTTACTTCTAAAGTGAAGATCTATGTTTTCCTACATTTTTTTATTACCTCGACCTTTAAAACGTTGGAAATTGCATTTCCGGAGGTCAAACATAAGCGCAAAACATTCCGTTCATTGGTGGGACATTCCTGAGAACTTCCTAAAAAAACATACCATAATTTTTTATTTTTCAGTCTCAGCTTTATTTCCTCATATAAAGCCCAACAAAATCCTATATTCATGTGCATGTCAGCTATATGCATGTGGCCCTAGAATAGCGATTATTTCGGAATTTGAATAAGCATTCATGGTTCTTTGCCAGCTAGATTAGGACTAAATACAAACAGCTCCTCGATTCGATAAATGAAAAACATTAGGCATTAAGTATGGAAAATTAGCTAAATGCAACATTTTTCCAGTCTTTACACACATTTTAAGAGGATTTGCGCTCCGATAAAGCGCTCCTTTTTCGTTATTACATTTCACCTTGGGCGTAGTTAGATCTTTCAGGATATAAGTAAACTACATTGACAAATATTATTTTTGAAAACAATTCCTTAATCCTTGGTTAACAGGCAAACAAGATAGCCAGAGAATATTTTAACGAGCTTTCAATGTGTTGTCATCGTATCTCTTCTTGTGCGGTCGCTTTTCCCACTATGTCTTAGATATCTTTTTGAAAGAAAGGTGAAATTTTTCAAGCCTTTCACAACGACCACGTTTGCTTTTTGCGCTGTTAATGCGGTCATAAAGTTACAGTTAACCATGCATGCACTTTGAGCTTTACTAAGTGGCCGAGCCTGGAAATATGAAGCAAATATTTTGGCTACACTGCATGTGCGAGGGAATACACTTCAGTTTGTGAACGTGAACACGAATGTCGTATCATCCGAGATATCAAGCGAACTGTCATATCTCTTTAATTTCCGGACAGTCAAAAAGGCTTAGAGTTGAGGAGTTTTAATATTAAAAAACCATGTACGTTCGTACTTATCTTTAAATAGAGAAGTAACTGCATTGACGAAACAGAAAAGCAAGTTCCATACTTGCAAAAAAAAATTATCTACTGTATAACATGCAGTCACAGATAGTATATCTCTATTCCTTCAATCTATTCATTCACCAAGTATAATTTTTCTTCCACAGACGATGAGTTACTGGCAAACAGGAACAAAGATAACATCGAGGCTTCAAACCCAGAAAACGTCGTTCGTCACAGATCAAGAAGAGAGGTTATATTTCTAGGAGCGCAATCTTACCCAAGATATGTTGAGGTTATGGTCACCGTAGATAAATCTATGCTCGACCATTACGGCAGTGAGTTTGAGCTCAAGAGATATATACAGACAATCATGGGTGTGGTAAGTCATGCTTCTTACTGTAACAACAGAACCACCGAATAGTGTCATAATCTTGTTCACCTCTAAAATGCATTCCTGAAATGTTACTGTAAAAGAAACTGAAATTAGTGATACTGGTAGCTCTAAATGTTTGCATGCATTGGATCTCGTTTTCTTTTGCTTTCTTCTCAATTGAATGATAACTTTGTGCACTCTTTAGGTTCATGATATCTTTCTCGATCCAAAGATTGGCAATTCCATAGAAATTGTTTTAACTGGAATAAAGATACTGAAGAACGAAGAGGTATAGAGTAGAGTAAAGGCTATAACGGGTGCACAACATGACATTGTTTGATGAATAACGAAAAGCATGCTCTAATTTTTGTCCCTTAAAGTACCTCAATTTTTCAATTCAGGGGCTGTTTACATGAGCCCGGTTACCCGAGATTCAACGAAGTGTGAGATGATTTTGAGGTATTGAAATGAGCAGATAACATGATCCTGGCAGTCGTATAATCACCACAACAATAGCATGTGCTTGTTTGGTGTCATAAAGACATATTTCAATACCTCAAAGTCCTCTCACGCTTCGTTGAATCTCGGGTTACCGGGCTCATGTAAACAGCCCCTCAGTTATAAACAATTTTCGACTTCATGTATTCTGATAAAATTTAGACGATCTATGCATGAATGAATGAAAAAAGTGTAATATCAATTCACATAATTTGAATGCCAATAGAATGGGAATTATACCTTCATGCAATTTATTCAACCTCAGGATCTGAAGATAACAAGCGATGCAAGAAAATCACTGCGGGAATTTTGTGTTTGGCAACATAAACAAAATGTTAAGTCAGATGCTGATGCTGGTCATTATGATACTGCTATTCTTATTACGAGGTGATTACCGTAGGAACATAGAAATGAAAACTAAAAATTAACTTTCTGTTTTTATATTTTCTCATTTTGTACCTCTTCATAGGAAAAATATTTGTCGAACCAAGGGAAACTGTGAAACATTAGGTAGGTCTTGTAAATTATAAGGGAGTTCTGTTCATTGGTAAAGTTGTTTACTGTATCCCAAGATGGCTTGCTGTCATGGTTTGTCTAGTAATAAAATTTCTTATTACGTCCCATATACATTGCTTATTTAATCTGAAAACGCCGCACATTTTCCCATTATTGCTCATCGCCAATCATAGGGGTCATCATTTCGTACGCGGACCGAGGGAGGGCGGGGGTAGGGTCACTTTTTCCTCGGACAAAAAGATCATCAGATATAATTCTGCGTTGGTTGTGGAGCCAGCATTAAATTCTGGTCATCTCCCCCCCCCCACCCAAGGCTCCGTAATCAGTGTAATGTTCACCATTCCTTGTCCGCATTGTGCACTTCAACTCATTACGGTTCATCTTATATAACTCCAAGAACGTTCACTATGTTGCTTCAGTTATGTGATGTTCTTTCTTTTCAACAGGTCTAGCCGAACTCGGAACGATGTGCGACAGTGCTCGTAGCTGTTCGATCGTGGAGGACAATGGCCTTGGAGTTTCTTTTACCGTCGCTCATGAACTAGGACATGTGTAAGATATACATACCTTTCAATACAAGGGACATAACAATATATAATCGAACTTGAAGAAACATGAAGAAACATATTGGTCAAGGGTGAAATGGAATTGACCAAATCTATTTATGAAGTGAATGAGGGAGAAATATATCTGAAGCCTGATTTGATAATGAAAAGATATGAACGGAAGCGAAATGATTATGGCAATTTTTGTGGAGCTTTCAGATATCTTAAAATATGTTATGTTGTTATGTTTTAGGTTTAACGTAGGTCATGATGCAGTCGCCAAGAAGTGTGTAGGTGGAAAGAACGGCCTTCATGTTATGGCGCCATCCGTCAACCTCCAAGCAATACCATGGAGTTGGTCTGCGTGTAGTCGACAAGAAATCACGGAATTCTTAGAGTGAGTATAAACCTCTATCCCAGGCCGTTCCGTTGAGTTCCGTTCAAGGAAAGAGGACCTAGGGTTCAGTTGTATCGCTACTTAAACAATTGTGAAAGGTAGAGGCATTTTAGTCAGTGTTCGTACGTTTGACCATTTAGAAAAGACCAGCTGAACCAAGGCCCTTTCTTGCCAAAATCCAAAATCAAGGAAAGAACGAGTTCAAACAAATGATGATCTTTCTTTTGAATATGCTCGTTCCTCTTTTGGTAAATTTACTCTAGATTTCTATTTTTAGACGTGGTCATGATAGATGTTTGATGGACAGGCCCCAATATCAGTTTAGAAAATCAGAGCAATTACCAGGCGAGGTGTACAGTCCCACCATGCAGTGCAAACTCACGTATGGGAAGAATTCTTCATTGTGTCGCTTCAAGGTAAGACATAAAACAACGTATTGGGATAATTTCCTGTAAAGTATTAATAGCTTGCGGTATTTTCGCTTCAACCTGTTTTTATCTAAACCGTTATTTGGTCAACTTTTCAAATTAGGTGCTCTCTTTTTTCGCAGACAAAATCTTGCAGGCGACTCTGGTGTGCTGTGAAATTCCCAAATGGCCGTGAAGGATGCCGGACCCACGGTATGCCCTGGGCTGAAGGCAGTTCTTGTGGGACAGGAAAGGTCAGTTTGAATATTTCCTGTCCACGTCTTTCTCTGACTCCTTTTCTAGCATTATCAGACTTATTTCAGGTAGCAATAACTATTTTGCGCAACTCCAATAGCTGTCAGTTTCATTTTTAGTGGTGTGTCCGTGGGGCGTGTGTGCGTAAACAAATCAATGAAAAAATAAACGGGGCGTGGTCGCCGTGGTCTTCATTCGGCCCTTGTTCCCGAACATGTGGTGGAGGTGTCACTTTCTCGTCTAGAGCGTGTAATAATCCGAGGTAATTATTTTCCCTATTTTTCTCGTAAAGAAAGTTCGATTGGACAAAAGTCATTGTTTTTTCTCGTTTACTTACACAGCCCTTTGCATGGAGGCAGGTTTTGTCTGGGAGCAAAAAAGAGATTCAAATCTTGCCAAGCTCAGGTTGGTTCAAATACACCCTTGAATGTCATTGTTGAGGCAATGAATATTTGTGTATAGCAAAGCTTTGATCAAATGTCAACTGTAAACTGAGAAAAGTCTTTAGCTCTAGTCACCACTTTAGCTTTATACCAGGTTCCCTGCTGCTATAGGAATTAGAAAACATTGCCAATTGCCATAACGTGAGAAATGACTTGAAAATCTTTAAACTGTCCCGTATTAACAAACCAGTTCTCATTAATATTTACTACCTTTAACTACCTTTTCTTAGGAATGTCCCAAGGGAAGTGCGAGCTTCAGAGCCGTGCAATGTGCAAAATACAACAACAGAAAAGGTCCTAGAGGAAGCAAATGGGTGCCAAGATTTCTGAAGGGTATGATTTATATAAATATATGACATCGGTGTACCCTCAGAGGGTTTTCAAATTGCAATTAATAACCTTTAAAAATACATCAATATACGAATTCGAATGTAACTGCCTTATTGCACGGAAACGTCCAACCCATAATAGTGTGGATTTACTCGGGGTTAACTATCCTCTGTTTTGGGGGGTTTTTTTGCTACTTTATTATACCATATAATAATTTATGGTAAGTATTTTTATTGATCCTAGGCAGACATCGATGTCAGCTTCTTTGTGAGCGTGTTGGAGGTGGAGGATTTATAACGGCTAAAGTGATTGATGGTACAAAATGCTCAAAAAACTCCTTCGACATCTGCGTGAATGGAATCTGCAGGGTAAGAGAAAATTATTCACTAACTTTTTTAAGTAATCTTATCGTGTAGGTTTGTCAACGGCGGTTGTCTCAAGAAAAATAAAGATGTGTGTTAAATGTCATTGTTGTTATCATAATTTTTGCTCTTATCGGTATCAAGAATTCTGAGATTAGTTATAACAAACCACTTCAATCGCTTATCTTTATAAAAGCTTGCAGGATGTGATAATGTTCTCAACTCAAGAGCCAAACTTGACATCTGTGGTGTATGCAATGGACGCAATGATACCTGTAAACGCACGAGTAAATCGTGGCACCAAGAAGTCCATTGGGGTAGGTCTGGGTTTTTTCCCTGGGCTTTGGGCTTTAACTTGTTATCTTCACCCACAATTGAACAGATTCTGCAGGTCTGTTTCGTCTTTTTTTTCTAGAAGAACGGTTATATTCCATCATGAGCATTATTTTTTTGAAATTTTAAGGGTACAACGATGTCACAACCTTCCTTCCTGGTTTCTCGTCGATCAAAATTGTGCAAACGACACCGCAATCTGAAGTAGAAAGGGAAGTGGAAGCTATACGTAGTAGACGACACCGACTTGGCGACGATAATTATTTAGGTGAGGTTTTTTACTTATGAATGTATTTACTGTATGAACTGTATTTTGTGTGTCGTATGGTATGAGCTGTGTATGAATTAGTTGGATTGGAGTAGCGTTGTTGGAGTGGTACGCAATGGTATATGTGATATAACGTCATGCTTATAGTATGGTATGGTGTGTGTGGTGTGGTGTGGTGTGGTGTGGTGTGGTGTGGTGTGGTTTTTATGATACGTTTGGAATGAAATAGTCGGGTATTTTTCTATATGTGATTATGGTATATAAAGATACCATGATCCATGTTTATTTTGCATGGACACATGTATTATTTTATACGGTAATTAGTTTCAAGTGAAGTTTTATATTCCAAACAAAATATTCTTGCTATAGTTCTTCTCAATGAAAACTATGGCAACATCCTGAATGGTGGTTACTCCATTAGAGGCGATTCTTCAGATTCATTTCATGCAAGTGGTCTTAGGATTACTTATTCCGGATCAAGAAGTTATCCAGAGTATATCAAGATTCAAGGAAAACTGACAAAAAAGATTCATTTGCAGGTATACAAATTGATATAAAGAGTCTATTCCATTTATGACTATTGCAAATTCACACCTCAACGTAATTCATATTTCGCAGGTTCTGTCGGTGGAAAAAGTGGAGGCTCCCAAGATAACGTACACGTATCTGAGTCCGGTAGAAAAGCCTGACACGTTTATTTGGGACAACAAAGGACTTTGGTCAAGATGTAGCCAAAATTGTCAAGGTAATGAGTATGTTAATGTAGGTTGATTTCGCCAACTTGAAGAACACAGTATATAATGGTCTAAAAGAAAGAGTAGTTATGAAAGATTTTGTACCATTGACACCGAATTCTACTAATTTTCAGTGATTTTTTTTCAAAAGGATTTCGAACAAGAAAAATTGTTTGCAAACGCGAACGGGATGGTTTGGTGGTACCCAATGAAAAATGTAATCAAACTAACAATCTTACAACGATTAGAGAAAATTGTAATACGGAATGTCTCTTCAAGTAAGTTTCTTTTGTTTGAGTGTTTCCTTCTAACCCCAGTAAAGAATTGAAGGATAAAACCATCCAGAAAAATTATTTTGTAGTAACCATTCATGTGCGACTTCTACAGTAATCAATTTAGAAGTGATAGCTAGCAAACTACCTGAAGGTTACCTAACGTTTCCTTAAAGTAAATTGTATTGTTTTAAAACAGGTGGATGGTCTCAAGCAAAGGTACATGTCAACCCGGTTGTGGGCCTGGGACACAGAGAGTATACTTTAGGTGTGTGAAGCACCACATAACTTCAGGAGCGAACCTAGTCCGACCCAATAATGATTGTCGTCTAATTATCAAACCTCCATCTGAACAGCCATGTGAAGGCACATGTGACAATGTTCTTTGGGTGTACTCTCGATGGACAGAGGTGAGTGATGTATTATAAGGGGATTTTCATAGTGACAACGAATGCAGCGCACTCAGAAACGTGCCTCAGTGAGCTCTCAATACACTGGCAGACTAGCAACATCACCCTAAAACCTGTATGCTGTTTTTTAGTGTTCCCGGTCATGTAATGGTGGAGTCCAGAAACGCCGTATCACTTGCGTTGAAAAGAACCCGGATGTGCGAAAAGAACTACCCGAATCCATGTGTTCAAAAATTGAGAAACGATCAGCTATACGAGCCTGCAATACACTCCGCTGCCCAACATGGAGAACTGGAAGATGGAGCAGGGTATGTACTTAGTAAGAATGTCATTGGTGGTTTACCCAACTTTTGTTGTGTAGTAGAGTAAAGCACTGGCTATCACATTCGTTTATACCTGTAAGTTTTACCGCAATTGCACTAAGCACTGACGAAATTTCTAAACTTATATAGTGTTCAACGGCATGTGGTGAAGGATATCAAAGAAGAAAAGTTGTTTGTCATTGGAAAGGAAATAGGGCGGTGGAAGACGAGGCCTGTGATATGACAAAGAGACCGAGGGAAAGACAGAATTGTCGATTAAAGGCGTGCCCACATTGGGAGTATGAAGAATGGTCAGATGTAAGTCGAAGCAAATCGTTCGACCACCAACACTATAGTGTTGTTGTTGTTTATATTTGAATCGTCTCCATTACAATGACTATGATTATTACCACACTCAATATTGTCACAGCATCCTCATCCCATCAGGCTAGTACCACCATTAACGACCCATAATTGTATTTAGTGTTCAACCACGTGCGGACAAGGTAACCAAATACGTCTGGTACGTTGTACAAATGGAGATGGTGAAATATTGAGGGAGGAAGATTGTGTTTCCGAAGATAAGCCGATATCACGCCGAGAGTGTCAGGATTTACCTGTCTGTGATAAGACCGTGTTCTTGATCACCAGGATCGCTGACCAGGGACCTGTCAAGTGGGTCACTAAACGCTGGGAAGAGGTAATTGAGCTAGTATGAAGGGTAATCAAATGCAACATCATTTTATTCGAGGTGCAATTCCAGTAGTACGTATCAAAGGCTGAAATTATAACCAGTTTACATGCCTATATACCGGCGAATGCCTCGGCATAATTTGTCTAAATATTGAGAACAAATACATCAAAAATTCAATCTGATCGGTACCTAATGTTTCAGTGTTCGGTTACATGTGGTGAAGGCCGTCAGGAGCGGAATGTCAGCTGTGTGAATTCTAGAGAAGTGGTGATTGATGATGAATTTTGCAAAAATATTACAAAGCCCCGAAGAGTGAGACCATGTATTATACATTGTGGTAAATGGAGGTACACAAGTTGGTCTTCGGTTAGTTTTTAATTTCTCCTTCCTTTTTTGTTCACAATGACGTGCAATTTTCATTTGACAATCGTCAGACACACACAGTCGGGTGTCTAACACCTAGTTTCTTTCAGTGCTCTTCTAGATGCGGTGATGGTACTCAAGAGAGAAACATCAGCTGTGTTGACGTCAATGAAAATATCATGAATGATAATATCTGTGACTCCAAACAAAAACCACCCGCTACACGAAATTGCGTCAAATATTGCGGTATTTGGAGATATTCAGTTTGGACTCCTGTGAGTATGCGCTTTGAAAATGTGGAAAATCTTTATAGATACTATAAAGAACTTGCAATTCGGAATTTACCTGTTCATCTTATAAACTCCTAAAACCTGCTATTTGTAGAGCTAAACGGAATTATATGATTATCCAACATTGTATTATTTTAGTGTTCATCAAACTGCGGTAGAGGTACTCAACGAAGACAAGTTAAATGTTTTGATAGAAGATATCGTTTGGCAAACGAGGAGACATGCGATCCATTATTAAGGCCTGTCAATATCAGACAGTGTTCGAACTATCTCTGCACTCCAGCCAGAAAACTAGAGCCAAAAGTCAGCGGACAATGGAAAAATGGATCCTGGAGCGAAGTAAGTTTTATGCGAAATCAGACATATGAAAACCAAATTACAAGAAATTACGACGAGTTACGATGAATTACGACGAATTTATCGTATGAAAATCTGTCTTAAGCATTTAAACGCAGTCCATTTTCATGTTTATGTTCGTTTTCATGTTGATGTTCATTTATCGTTTTAGTGTTCAAGAAGCTGTGGACGTGGTCACAAACGTCGTAAGGTTTTTTGTTTTGACGATGAATCAGGAAAGGAACTTTCCGATGCCAATTGTGGCAAGAAACCCAAGCCAAAATCAGTTGCACAGTGCAACGTAGGAAGATGTCCGTTCTGGCGAGTAGAAAACTGGAGTGAGGTAATAAAACAAACAATAAACATTCCCCCATTTCCTCGTACGACTAAAACGTTATCATTTAAATCCATTGCATTTAGCACATCGCCAGTGTTTACGTTATTCGACACGACAGTATTTATGTCTTCGCACAGCGCGTGCGCAGAACAGACTCGCATCTCTTTAACTTCTTCATTTGAAACATCGTTTTATCTCTTCAGTGTTCAAGGACGTGCGGCACAGGTTACAAACGCCGGAGCGTGAGCTGTATATCTGATATTTCAACAAGTACTTGTGACAGAAAAATACGACCACCAACTGTATCCAAATGCAACTTGAGGGAATGTGCCGTGTGGAAGACTACCCAATGGACCAAGGTACCAACTATGTATTAGAATTTTGTGGCAATCGTGCTTTTTTTAATCCAGGGGAGTGAAAAACGGAGGCCTGCGGAAAGTATCTAGCTAAGATGTTATAGATATGATAGTATGTACTCTGGTAAATTAGCATCAAATGTGCCATAACATGTGCTTAAAATAGACAAAATTTTCAATGGTTCGCGAAGTTTACTTTACTTTATGTTAAAATTTATAGTGCTCTAGGACATGTGGTCTTGGGGCGGTGTCTCGCACGGTCTCTTGTTCAAACAGCACGGATCAACTCCCTGATGAAAATTGTGACCGGAAATTGAGACCATCGATTATGAAGTCTTGTTACCTCAAAAATTGTCCACCTAATGTACGCTGGGTCAAAGGAAAGTGGAATCCAGTAAGTATTTCGTGCAGTCGTCCAAAAGTACAAAATCAGGCAATGTTATAAATTTTCTAGTTCCCACATGAGGATCTAACATCGATACGAGCTCCCTTGCTTATAATTTCCATGTAATATGGCATATTTAACCTTACAACGCATCATTGAGGCCATTGAGTTATGCACCTACATCTGGTGTGTTCCAATACAGCGTGACAGTGTCTTCGAACATTAGAAATAGATATAAAGTTACTTCGGTATGGTTCTAGCCATAGAAATGTTTCGTTAAAGCCTTAAGGGAGGGCTTTCTATCTAAGGCGAAAAGCTCAGAATTGATGGACTTTGTCTTCCAGTGTTCTGTTCAATGTGGCGAAGGTGTGAAACAAAGAAATGTTTGGTGTGAAGACCTATATCGCCAACGTGTCGCTCCATCAAGATGTAGACATTTGAGGCGTCGACCTCGCACAGTAAAAACCTGTAGGAGAAATACGTGCGGTATTTGGGAGACAGGGCTATGGGGAAAGGTGAATACTTTCATTCTATTAATAATTGACCACCCGTACTTAATATTTACATTTTCTGGAACATTCCTTTTCCAACACTTTCAGGAAACAGTCGGTTAAACGTTTTTTACTGACTAAATATATGTAGATGAGAAATTATAATAAGGCAAACAAGGGCTAATTTTGCTAGTTTCGCACGCTTGTTGAGTGGCTGTATCGTATACACTAGGGAAGAAAGATATGGGATATACATTCTACCTTAATGCATGCAGCTAGAAATGTTGATAAACGAAATTGAAGTTATTCGTAGGATAGTCTTGAATAGAGATAATTTCCTTTGTTGGTATCAAATCACAGGTTATTCATCTTGTCATGACACATTCGCCTTCTTTTCACAAACACTTCACTCGTCACGTGAACAGTTCGAAAAGCGAAAACTTTTTCACACGATATTCATTTTTAGTGCTCTAAAAAATGTGGACAAGGTAAAAGTGAGAGAAGTGTAAGATGTCGAAGAAGTAGCTCGTTTGTCAGCGATCAGTTCTGCTCAAACCGAGTGAAGCCGGCACAAGAAAAGTCTTGCAACCTTACGGAATGCGAACCTCAGACTGATGGTTATAAATGGTTCATAACATCTGTCAGTCCGGTGAGTTGCTTGCTAACACATTACACAGGGGAAGAATAACTTAATTTGCACGATCACAACAACAACTGTTTTGTGTAAACTTTACGCGGAGACGCGTTATTTCCCCATAACTAAGTACAGATATTTACTTCATCTCTTTATCAACATTAGTGTTCCACAACATGCGGATCTGGTGTGCAATCTCGTATGGTCATCTGTGTTGATGCAAACGAGAGACAAGCGCCAAGCAAGAACTGCAATCCTGAAGTAAAGCCTCCCAAGCTCGTCACATGTGAAAATAGGGAATGTTTGCCCCAGTGGACTACTGGTTATTGGTCTGAGGTATTTCACATTAGCGCTGATCAAACTTTCATGATGTCCAAAGAAAGTTCTTTATAGAGTAGAGAGAATTTAGAGCAATGGTTTGTTTTATTCCAGTGTTCGAAGTCGTGTGGTGAAGGCGTTCAAAGAAGAACAGTGACATGCCCTGTAAACGATAAGAATACCAGTGTTTTGTGTGACAACGATAGAAAACCATCGCTTGAAAGACGTTGTAATCGGGGTTCTTGTGATAGTTTTTATACGTGGAAAATTGGGCCTTGGTCAAAGGTAAATTTTTTTGGCTTTCAATCTACAATTAAGCGCGAAATCTTTTTCAAGACTATACCTTTTGGAACTATAATGTTTAAATTATTTTGACATTATCCCTTGTAGCTAAGCCGAAATATATGAAATAATCGTAGATTATACCAACGTTACATGAATCATTCGCAACGCTATATACATACTTTACCACCGTGTATAAGTCAAGTAAGATTTTCCTTTTATATGCAGTGTTCAGCAACATGCGGCGAAGGAACAATGAGACGAGCAGTGCAATGTCTTGGTCGTAATAATCAGTACAGCAAAGAGAAAAGATGCGAACAGGAAGGTGTTATTAAACCTGATGTTATCAGAGAATGCTTACTGCCAAGATGTAAGATTTTACTTGTTATAAACTTTTTTCAGACATGTACACGTTTAACTGCACTGTATAGTCACTATAGTAGCGTTTGGAGTGTAGTTGAATGACCCAATCATGCAGGACACTTGGTGTCTTCGACTCTTCTTCAACCCAGCTGGCTTTGTAACTGGTTTCTATGTAATCTCAGAAAAAGCAGCTTTTCAAATACCACGTTTAACTGGTCTTTTTCGCCAGGATTGCTCGAAAGTCAATCTGTTTTATCGTATATGACGAGGCGATAGTTGGGTTTTCAGTTGATATAGGTGGCTGGTGGGGACAGATGCGAGAAGTCGCACTTCGTCAGAAATTTCGTATTATCTCTCCGGCGCTTGATAATGCTCACCTGCCCTCTTTCAACCCACCCGTGTGAAGGTTATGTCACTGCAACAGAATTTATTATATTATTCCTCAGGTGAACCACAATCATGCAAGGACATTCAAACGCAGCTGGGGAAGCAAAAAGATGCTGAATTTAATATCACGATAAGCAACAAGAAAGTTCAGGTTGGCAGTTTCCCTTTGATTGGCTTTGAGTTGGGGTTAATTCCAAGGGATTTCGCCGGCAAACGTCGTAGGTTTTATAATTTCTCTCCTGTCTCTTTAGGTGTATTGCTACGGAATGTTAACAAATCATCCAAAGGAATATATTACATTACGGTCAGGAGCACAGCATAATTTTGCTGAATATTATCATAGAAGGTGAGTGCATGGTAGCCTGTGATTCTCTCCAATCTCTCGCAACCTTCTAATAGTTTACAGCTTCGGGACTTGCTTAGGTAAGTTCCCCAGGCTAACGCTTTTATAAACTATTTCACGGTATTTCACCCGAGTGGCAGAATATGAAGGCTATCCCGTATTGTTTTCTGCAGTATCATACTGCATATAGTTACTATAATAACTGCATGACGAAACCAAAAGCATTATTCTTCACATACGACTGGCACAAATCATGTAACTGCATGACTTGTCAGCCGTAACGGTCCTCCAATGACTTTTTTGTATTTTAGTTTAAAAAATCCACGAAAATGTCCCTATAACGGAGCAAGGAATGATGATTGTCCACTTTGTCATCGCGAATTATTTCCAAGCTCAGGTGGAACCTATTTCTCCAAAGTCAGATTTGATGTTTCACGGATGTCCATCATTGGTGAGCATATTCAAAAATTACCATTAGAAATGGCATGAATAATGAATTATGTATGAACGTAGATATCTGGAATTTTTTTCGAAATCCATATCATGGAAATAGTACGGATGTTATTTGGAAATACCAAGGAAGTTTAAAAATTCCATACTAATGCCATTTTCATACTATGGGCATAGTATGGAAACAGTATGCATGGGTATAGCATACTTCCATGGTATGGATTTGAAAGTAAATTCAATTTGGCTATGTTTATGATTGCAATATTCGATTATATCCTTGTCTCATTATAGGAGGTGATTTCACGTTTGCAATTATTCGTGGAAATCATTCACCAAGTTATGGTACGGCTGGTGATTGTTACAGTAAATCTCAGTGTCCACAGGTAATGTATTTCACTCACTATTACGTGGATGTAAGGAAGAGACACTTTCAAAAACACGTAGTATAGTAGGGACCTCGGAGCAGGGGCCCGGTGGCTTGATTCCAGCCCCCGCCACCCAATTGTTGTCCAGTCCCCCCCCCCCCCAAAAAAAACTCGAAAAATTGCTCCACAGTCCCGAACATAGTTTTTTCTATATGGAGGAGATAATGGAAATTGCATTTGATAGTGAAGACGATGGCTTACTTGCGATAATATTGATGAGTTGATGATTAACACAATGTTACCATTGCGGCGTGTCGCTTTAAAATGTCCTCATACTACCAACCACGTAATATTTCTATAGGGTCGCTTCAGTATTGATTTAACAAACACAGGAATATCACTTGCACCGGAAGTAACGTGGAAATCCTACGGTTATTATCTATCAAGAGTAATAACGATTAAAGAGGTATAACTACGGGGTCATTACTCGAAAAATATCTGTCTAAAAACGTAGTTGTGAACAGATTTTTAAACATTTTCTTTAAAATTTCTGATTTCTTAATCTGGCACTTGGACAAAAATCCGCTTGGTTGATTATCGCGCAATAATCCGAGATTGTTCGACTAATCAACAGCGACTAATCAATAGTGACTAATCAATAGTGACTAATCAACAGTGACCAATCAATAGTGACTAATCAATAGTGACTAATCAACAGTGACCAATCAATAGTGACTAATCAATAGTGACTAATCAACAGTGTGACCAATCAATAGTGACTAATCAATAGTGACTAATCAACAGTGACTAATCAACAGTGACCAATCAATAATGACTAATCAATAGTGACTAATCAACAGTGACTAATCAACAGTGACTAATCAACAGTGACTATAATCAACAGTGACTAATCAGAGGCAAGAATTTTCAATAATCACCTTTGTAACTATACTAAAACAAATTATTGTTGTTCCAGGGAAGGCAAGTAATCACTGGTATGTGTGGTGGTTACTGTGGGGTATGTAGACCTTACAGAACGCTGCGAGTCACTTTATAACGGTAAGACCATATGAACCATTTTAACCTCACGTAAATTCACTATATAACGCGCAATGGTGACTTTAATACAACATCGTCAACATCGTTTGACATCGTCATCGGTAAACACGTACGTTATATTTTTTAGATTCCGCGTACAGAGTATTAGATAAATATTAAGTGTATACATCTAGTTTCCTATAGAAAATTTGTAAATATTGTAACATATTTATATTATGCTTTTGTGCATCAAAATATTCAAGTTTGTTTATAGTTACCAGACATTTACATTAATTTAGATATCCATAAAATCTAGGAATTCCCGAATTTGCACTGATAAGCAATGTATTTTATTTAATATACAGCAAGTTTTTAACAACATTTGGACATGAATATTATAGGCAAGCAGTAACATGAACTTATATATCTCGCAGCCTCACTCAAAATAAACAACACAGCCACAGGGTGTTTAGCCAACGAAAATCGAGGTACACAATTTGATATAGGTATAACTGCTTGCTATAAATTAGATATAGCTACAAGGGAAGTAGATCTCTTAATACACATAATTCAAATTTTAGCATTTTATCTTTGGCGATAAAGATTAAAGTGAAACATTTTGTTCAATTAACTGAACACAGAATAATAAATTGTTGTTAAATATTGCGTAATTTTTACAACGACTTCTCTAACTATTTACTAAACTAAGTTTTGAAATACTTAAATAATTTTAGAATTATCTAGTTTTGATAGGATTAAACTTGTGCCGAACACGTTGGAAATTTACTTTTCAAGCCCGGTTTCCGTATATACTGATTGTAGTCAACTAAATAATAATTGAAGACGTAAAATTATTCAAAAACGTACGTATAGAATTTTAGTGTTTACACATTATTAATCACCGACAATGGAACTCGATCCCAGGAGATTGTCAGGGCTGTTCATTTTGACTTCGTAGATGGTTCTTCAGCATGCACCAGAGGCTTTTGACCATCAAGAGATGCTGCTGAGCGTCTACAAATACTATTATAATAATAATATTATGGAAACCTGGATTTAAAATTAAATTGAAGATGTTTTCGGTTCAATATGTATTTATCGTTTAAAGAATAAATAGTCTATAATTTCTTGCTTTTTTCTTTTGACTTTGTTGTTGAAATCTCTATTAAGTACCCTATAGAATGAAATCATAACTATATATACAACGTGTATATATTGAAACATTTTTTGTTAGACTGAATATAAAAATGTTTCAGCGCGAGTTCACTGGTTTCAGCACTCTTCCAACCTAAATCAAGTGTGTTTTTTTATAGTTAATGCATCTTAATGAAGTCCAGGGCACTTCTAATACGATATAAGCGTTATGGTAGACTATTTTACCGCGCCCGAAATGTGTGTGAATGCAGTAAGATGGCTAAATGAGAGGGCAGGGAGAAGGGTAGAATGTTAGCAAACTGGAATTTGAAAACGGTCGGTGTTTTGTAAGACAACTGCAGTAGAACGAGAGAGATAGCAATAAATCTACTTGCTCTGATACGCAATACTTAGGTATATCTCAATCTCAAAAGCCCTTTTGCGGTCTCAGAGTTCAAGGTTTACAGTTTTAAAAGGACGACTCGAATTAGCTGTTTATCTCTTTATAGTCTTTATAGACCTCTTTATAGTCTTTATATAGACCTTTTTCACAGGATGCCACATTAGGCGTCTAGAGATAGCGTAGCATAAATTTTGCAAAAAGCGTAAATTTTTTGATAAAATACAATAAGACTTTGTTTTGTTACTTTTGTCTGCCATATGACCCAGTAATCGGCTCGCAAATTTTTTGTAGTGGGCAGGAAGCATCTGAAACTCTTATAGAGATTATAACGTAGGTGTAGTGGGTCAATCATTGGTGACATGCATAATTAGCCAATAAAGATTGCGCATTTTGGAGAGTGCAGAGTGTGTAAAAAACGCAACCTCTGAATTTACCAAGTAGCCACTTATGCTTGCATATTTAAAAGCATTTAGAGTTTTGTTTCCTAGCAATTCAGAGTGAGTTTCTAATTGTATTCAAGGAGCATAATTACTGTTGAATGACCACCACATTTAAACAATATGCATGTGTATTTAGGCTCTTTCTGACTATACCGGTTTCGCATGGTCATGACATAATCAGTCATATTCTGCCAAATAAACGAGTTCTGGGGACAGAGATACCGTGAAACAACTTCAAAATGTTGTCCGGTGACCATGTGATGATGTGAAACTCGGGATTCGCATGGGGCCGATTGTCCCAAAAAAGTCCCCCCTATTGAAATGAAGCATTTGTTGGTTTTAATCAAGATTGAGGCATTCAAATAAAGCGTCTCGCTTTCAATTGGGTCTATCATAATATTAAGTTAAGGCAATCAGATCTAACAAAGGCTTGATTTCAATACAAGGTGAATAAAAAAAAACTGACACCTTTGAAATTCAAATTAGTCGCATAGCGGCTGTAATGTGGCAGAAGTTGCTTAAAATATTTCATAGGTATACGAAGCATATCATTAATTAACCTAAAGCATAAAGTTTGTTCCCATTGGGAGTTAAAATGCATTCTAAGCTCTGTAAATACAAAAGAACAGTTTTATCAAATCGTTTTTGTTGATTGTACATGGAAATTGTCATATTCCAGCCATATAAGTTCGCAGCTAATTTGAATTTCAAAGGCGTCAGGTTTTTTTTACTCACCCTGTAGAGGGGACTTTTTCCCAACACCCTGTATACATATACATATATAAAACACTTTAACGACATTTTGCATAGTTAAATCCTAACTCAGAAATGCACAAGTCTGATTGGCCTATTCTGTTAAAACTAGTCTTTTATACAACTGACCCTGAAGCCAAAAACCGTCACAGTTCTTTATCCTGGTCTTTTGTTTTCTTTGTCCCTGATGGCACTAATGACGATGTTTCCTTTATTTATTCACCGACAGCTATAGCTTTTCTAACAGAGCGTTCTCTGGACGTGAAGTAAACTTTTTAAACCAAGCCGGCATACACAAAAGCACTAGCTTGTACGCTTTCTCTTATTATTGCACAATTCGAGTTTTGGCTAGAAGATTGAAGATATACTGTGATTATAATCGTTATAAAGAGAAGAAAGTTATGATAATCTTGGCCCTCTGGTTTCCTTCCTCTTAAGACGATATCGAAGGCGAAGAACCCACTTTAATCATTACAGTTTATCCCATAACAGGTTAGTGTCTGGTATATTAATATTTTGATTGTCAATACTTGTAGTTTTGTTGATCGATACTGCCGCTTACTAGACAACTTCAATTTCAATCTTCACACGCCATTTCACGTTCACACTTGCCAAGTTGCATTCAGTATGGGTGAAGAATGTCGGGACGACAGTATATAAGGTAGCCTTAGTCATAGGTAGTTGATTATACTTATACAATTGTAACGTATTCAAGTATGTATTGATTTTCCTGCATTTATTCAAATGCTTCAAAAAGGCATAAAAATCGAGTAATTGACCAGCTATTTCAGTGACTAACACGATTCAACAACATACAAGTACTAACAGTAACAAATAAGAGTACTATAACAATAATACACGTTTGCTATTTCGCGTCGAAAATGCTATTTGTTAAAAAGTAATGCGCGGTTCCTTACCTAGGCTGGATTTCTACTTACAGAGAAATAGTTCGCTAGCGAAATATTTGCATTTCACTTTAGAATTTCAACAGCATAAATAAATTAGTTCGACACGACTGTTTTCAATAGACGTATTCGGTAATTACGTCACAGCGCTATCGTTTTAAGTTTAGAACCAATTTAAATTAGATGGATTTCAAGTTTTACTCTCACGAGCTATGTGCAAAGATGCAAAACATCCTTCATTTCTTCTATAACCCGTACACGAAAAACTTTTTTATTTGGACTAATAAGTATGGAAATAAGCCATAACGCGGGAACGAGGCTGGCGGTCTTGGCCCTTCAACCTCGTTCATGTGTTATGGCTTATCTGTACATATATCTTTTTCATAAATGTGTTGAAGAAGGATCGGAAAACCACCCTCACACGACGTGAGTTCAGTATAGCACACGTAGTGGATAATGGTTTTTAAGCATTTTCATTGGTTGACAGACTAATAAATCTGAGTCATTATTTACAAGCTAGACGTGTGATTGGAAGTAAATCAATTTCACGCACAATATAATGCCGCGTATATAAAAATATACATCTTAATTTTTTCTTTATATTAACATATCTAACGTGAAAAACTACAAATATTAAGAGAAACTCCAACATAAACAGCACGAAATCTCATGTGCACGCGCAGTGCATGGTAATAGTTGCATTGCATGCATGTAAAGGCCCTGTCACACGGTGAAATTTTTCATGCAACTTGCATCACTCAGTCCTTGCAATACAATTCTACTTTAAAGTGATGAAAATTCGGCAACCAACAAAACTGAAACACTCCATCATGAACGCTCAAACACTCAAACATGAACACTCCAACACTTCACTAATTTACATGTCTTAAAAGTCGAATTTCATTTCAAAAATTACACCATGTAACAGGGCCTTAACATGACTTAAAATGACTTGGATTCTTCCTTCTACTGATATCCAGAAGAGCTGCTAGAACGGTACTGAATTGGGGGTAGTGGATATTCAGTTCTGCCCGACGGATAACTATACGCAGGATCAGGCCCGGAGCTACGGGGGGGTTTAGGGGGGTGTCACACCCCCCCAGAAAGTTTATTCTGAGGTTTAGTCGGTAAAATTGCTATTTTAGTCGGCAGACAAACATACTGTTGACACTATAGACCGATCCAATATAAACTTGACAAAGTTTCATCCAGAGTGTAGTCGGTACAAGTCCGTCGATCAGTCGGTTTAGATTACCTTACACCCCCCCTGTAAAATATCCTGAGGACGGCCCTGCGCAGGATGTACAAAAAATACTGCGAGCACTACTTCATGTATGTTCGCTTCTATTCAGTATTCAATAACAAAAGATCGTAGGCCCCTAGGAATTATTAGGGTTGCGCTTTTTTTTATATAACCTGTATTTTAAATTAAAGGATGTCCGAAAAAAAGTCCCCACTATTGAGATGAAACTTTTGTTGGAGTTTAAATGCATGATCAACGTAGTATAGTGTATAAATAGCATAGGTATTAGGTTGAGGCATTCAAATAAAGCGTCTTGATTTCAATTAGGTTATTATAATTAATATTAAGGCAATCAGATTCTAACAAAGGCTTGATTTCAATAGAGGGGACTTTTTTTTGGGACACCCTGTATTGAACTTACAAAAGAAATCCGTCGGGCAGAACTGCATGTTCACATAAATGTACGAATGAACACCCCACAATTATCGTATACACTGCTCATGTCAAATGAAAATGTCAGCACTGTGATACTGTCATTGCGTGTGCTAAAATTCTTATATGTTGATGCAGTTTTTCAAGGTATATATAACGAGAAAAAAATGACACTTGAATTGAAGCTAGTTTTTTATTTATTTCAACAATAATGATATCGGAGTCATTTTAAGTGATCCTCACAATGTTCCGTAAACTTTTAGGGCGAGGTTCCGTGTCAAAAAAGGAACTTTAATAATACTAAGATTAACATTGGTCAAGACTGCATAAGGTATATATATTAAGGCTCCGTTCAGACGGAGTGCCCGAATCCCATGCCCCGTCAAAACTGGCTCATAAAACAACCTGAGCACGATGCCCTTGTTGAGCAACTTGCTGAGTATTACGTTTGGAGGTAGTGGCCGTTCTTCGGCACCGTGCCGTCATGTCCTACTTAAGCCCCGTTTACACTACACAAGATTTATTGGCACGACACGGTTAAAATGGGTATCAGTGCCCAATTTTATCACTGCTCAGGCTATACCAAAACGAAGGCCGGGCGCGGATGAAATGGGGCTTTAGGTGCCAGAAAAAGCGATGGGCACCAGTGCCGGGCACTCAGTCTGAATTATCGCGATCTAAGATATAGCGCTATCAAACTCTCGAACACCGAGATATGTATAATACGTAAATACAAGAAAATTTATATAGTTATAAATATTGTAATATATATGTACGTATATTAATCAATACATGGACATGCAATTATCTACCTCTAAGGCTATATAAATCTGTACCTCCATAAAACTGTTTAACAATTTTTTAACACGTATAGCAATTTCAAAAAGCAAAATTAGAATTTCCGTACTATAAATTAACAATGACAAACTCACTCTCACTAAACAGAGAGGTCGGGAAGGGGCGTATCCTATAGGGTAAAATGTAAACACGGAATTTCATCACTATAATGTGATTTGTGAGTGAAAAATGAACCTTCAACAAGGCATATTGTATGACATGGCCGGGACGTAGCCAGGAGGCCTGAAAAATTTATTGCTAATATATACTTACTTCAAAATGAATTTAATTAAGAAAAATTAAATTCACTCAGTCAAATATGCTTGTCTTATTCTACCCCGCTAACCCGGGCTGAAACTCAGTGTTGTTGTCGTGTAATCCACCCAGGCAGTAAAAATCGCCTTGACAAAGCTTTTTGATTTGTTTGTTTCATTTTTATGTGCAATCAAGTTATTGTGATTCAGGATTTGAAAGCGCTTGAATACTCAAAATAGGTCTACTACCAGCCTTTACTAACTCAGGCGGAGCTGAAATTTCAGCCTGGTCTTAAAATAATTCTCACTTGTCATAAACTCAGCCCGGGCGGAAACTTTGCATGAAATTGAAAAATACTTTCGGCCTGGTTAGACGAGCTGAAACTCTAGCCTTAGCCCCCTCCCCCTCCACCTTAAGGTCTGGCTACGTCCCTGTGACATGGTAACTTTTAATGCAAACTCCATTCAGCAGTAGCTATAAGTACTTGCGTCAAAGGAGAAACGGTCGCAGAGTTTTAAATAAACTTAGACAGTAACTAGAATATTTGAACAGTCTAACCCTGCATACACCTCCCGTTTATCAAATCTGTTGTACTTTGCGAAACTCTTAAACTGCGACTTCTGCGGACGTTTCGGAAACGTCCTTACTCTTCCTGCCGTTATCTTTATCTTTTTCCGATGCAGGTTGTTTTTTTCTCATTCTTACGTCATCAGGGCAACACCGCTGAGATCCACAATCTTTATCCTCGCCACAATCAAGCACACAGTTATCAAGCTCCAATAGTTCAGGAGGGTCCTCGATGAATTCCGGCTGGATAGTCGTGGAATGGATGCCCTCGTTATGGAAGAAATCCTTTACTTTGTTTGCAATGGGCATGTATTCTGCCATCGAACGACATGTGATGTGAGCAGAAGCTAAAGGATTGCATACAGTATGTAAAGGTAGGGATTCATCATATAAACTCTTTCTCTCTATTTCATGCGACGGGTTATACGGGTTAAAACACACATACACACCGCTATAGAGCTAGAGGCAATTGCGGAAATTGCAAGAATAGGCTTTTAAAACTCTATATACAAGCATGTATATATGCATCCGAGTACCAATTCTTAAAAAAAGCCTTGCTATTAGTCTATAATCAAACGAGATGCTAAGAATAAGTTTACGTAATCCAGGCGGGATTAATAGAACGAGTGATGTTTGAAAATTTTGCCAAAATTGGACAAACTGTCAGAGTGAGTCTCAATTTACTCCTCTCGACCAATCAGCATCAAGTAATAATAAACTTGATAATTAACTTTTTACCAAGCACTTAATATATTCACATCCGTCATTGAATGAATACATACCGATAATCTTATCACCAGCCAATTGCCACACATGAAATTCGTGTAGGCTCAGTACTCCGTCAACTTGCTTGAGTAACCTCTCTCGAATTTCGTGTATCTTAATATGCGTCGGTACGGTTTGCATTAAGATTAGTGCGGACTCCTTCAGCAATGGTACCGATGATCTCAATATAATGAACACCATAATTAAACTCATTCCTGGATCGACATACAAAGTCCAGTCACCTTCACCGTAAATAATGCACAGGGCGCTAGCGATGACGATGACCGATCCCAAGGCATCGCCTAGCACATGAAGGTAGACAGCTCGCATGTTCATTTGAGCACTAGTTGTGACGCTGTGATCCGTGTGAAGGACGTGCGTCTCTGTGTCGTCAGTAGCATTGGTATTAATCACCTCCCTTGATTTCTCACGCACAATAACTAAATAATGGGACATAAACTGGTTGGTTTGAATGAATTTAAATACTATATGAAAGTCATTTTTTTCTATTTTCAAAGCACCCCACTATATATTAATAACATCAATCATATACTCGCGCAACGGTTGGAAAACTTGAAATTATTATTTGAACGAATAATCCAAAATTCCAGTTATTTGAACGAATAATCCAAATTTCCAGTTATTTGAACGAATAATCCAAATTTCCAGTTATTTGAACGAATAATCCAAATTTGACTAATATAGTTGTGTTTATTGTTTTGTATAATACATTTGAGATATGGAACCTTCTATATTTCAAAAACTGATTTGCGTACTTCTTATGCGAAAAAACCTAGGTGTTGACAGAATTTTACAGATTAAAAACGCTTTTCATACAGATCACGAAACCCTTATGCTAATATATCAAAAGTAATTGAATTATATCCAATCACTGTTAAAACACTGATTGAAACTTGCGCCATGCCATGCGAACAGAATACTCAGCACTTATTTTTGACTTTTTGTTTAGTTTCGCGCAATTAGGCACTACAGTAGATCACATGCAATTATTAAGATACAATGTAAGAAACACTATAGGCGGAACTTATCAACCTAAAGAATAAAGATAATAATTGTTTTTGTTACAAAATGAAAGTCCCTCGCTGTGTCGGAACGCAACGCGTTTTGTCCTGCTAGACAATTCTCAAGTCGCGACATGTCGACTACAGTCTACAGGTTTCTAAGTCATTTGTGTTGTTCATTGTTTACTATGGCAGCACTCGCACAAAAGCTAAGAATTATCCGCATTCATAGAGTATATGTGACCGAATAAATGTGTCAATATCCATTCGCACTTTTAGACTAAGCATTCTTGACAATTTTGATCTTAAATCTGAAGTTTGTTTACTTAATCTTGGCAGAGTTTCAACAAGCGTCGTAGTAAACAGCCTCGTGGCAGTCGTGAAACTTGCGTTTCAAAAGCCTGATTAAGTGTTTTTAAATTTTGTTGTGTTCTCGATTGTTTGCTAGACAAATGAATAATTAGCCTGATAGTTTTTGATGAATAAAAAGCAGTAGCTATATCAATAAACAGCATTCAAATGAAATACAATGTCCATGCTTATGCACCATGCAGTAACCTCGATTTAAAAGCAGTGAATAGTAAATTGCAGCATTAATACCATAATTATATTTATATTAACTATGAGTCCATGATTGCAGTTAATGAGAATTGGTTAAAGCAGTTAAAGCAATGCCAATGGCAATATGTTATTTGGCACCCTCAGCCTCGTATTTGTAGAGCACTTGTTCCATGCTTTTTTTGTCAACTAGGTTTTGTGTACTCATAATATAGCTATATATCTATAAAATAGAAGTTAATTAGACGGAAGAGAACGGTTACTGAAACGGCTTTTTTAGATCACTCGTAATAGAGATGTGGTTAGGTAAAAAATCATTAGTTCTTAAACTGATGAATTGGATTGAAAATTGATTCTAAAATTTGAACTGTCACTAGAACATTGTAAAATGGTTAATGGTGCATGTACGTTTGTTTAGAATGTGAGTAAAATGTATGGAAACATTTTTTGAGTTTCAAAATGCACTGGGTCTTTTCTAAGGATTTTTCAATGCTGTATACATTGATATAAAGATCATCAGAATTTTATTTTAAAAACATACAATTCAATCATTGTTTGTGGCATGTAAACGCTGTTCCAGCAGCTTGAATAATATCTCGAGTTTCATTCTTATATAGTCACATTTTGAAGAAACGTTTTTCAAATTGCAATACTGCACACATTCACATTCAATACAGCAAACTTAACCATACAAAGTCTTCACAAAGTGTTCAATACTGCACACTAAGAATAGGCCCTGAAAGTGCAAATATTCCATGAGCATTGTTTAGTGTTGAGTGTTGAATTTGTGCCTATTGTTATACCTACAATTCAGCTTCACTAATTTAATGAATGTCCTTTTATTATCAGGCCATTGACATATTATGCAGTAATTGCCGAATATGGGGATAAAATTTCTGAACATAGGTAAGATGACATAATAAGAACATAGGTAACATAATATTGTATACTTGACATTATGCAGATGTTGTCTAACATCAAATTACACTTTCAATATGAAATATTTAAGAAAAAAGATAAAATTTAAGGGTTGAGACTGTGAGAGTACATTTGTTATATATAAGTAATGTTGATTGTAAGTATACAAATGCTAGTTTGGCTTTTCACCCCCCATGAACTTGTCAAGGCTTTATTTCTCAAGACCAACATACAATATCTGTCCTATGGATTGGTTTGTGAATTGTGATGGAACTGAAGATAGTAGAAAATTAATCCAAAAATAATAGAACCCCAACCCTCAGCAAAGATTGCTCTAATACAGTAAAGTAGACATATGATTCTTACCTGTAGCAAACTTCTGAATTTCTCTTGCATCTTTCAAATATGAATTCTCAAACATATTAGTTTGACTGGTAGACTCAAGATCAGCAACATTGCTTTCCTCCACATTTCCTATGTTTGGAAGAACTGTTTCACTTGATTGTACCCCAAGAGAACTGTGACCATTACTGACAACACCATGAGAATGACCATGGTGTTGACCACCATGAGAATGGCCATGCCCATGGAACATGAATAAACCAATGACGTTAATAAACAAACCAGCGCCACCAACAATAAGAACTAACCAAGGATTTGTGATTTCTTCAACTTCAATCAACCGTTTTAGAGCTTCAATGAAAATTGTAAAGCACAATGCAACTAGGAATACAGCATTTATCAAAGCACCCAATACTTCTGCTCTTTGCCAACCGAATGTGTTCCGATCTGTCTGACTTGTTTTTTTTGAGTATCGCAAGGCAAAGAACCCCACTATTAAAGATATAACATCAGACAACATGTGAAATGAGTCTGCTATTAAAGCCACAGAACCAGTGATATAGCCAACAACAATTTCAACCAGAAAAAAGCTACCGGTCAACCCTAACATGGATATTAAACTGAATGTTTTTTTGGCACATAGGGATTTTCTGTTAGGATTTGCCATCTTACTTTATCACTGGACACCAAAACTATAATAAAAAGAAGAATATAGGTTTTTATTAATTTGAAGCATGTTTTAAATATGGCGTATTTTAGAATGAATCTCAGAATGTGTAAATTATACTGCGATTAATTTAACCACCTTGTGATAAAATACATATTAATTCAGCCTCGAATTTGGCATCACATTCAACGATGCGTATGATTAAATCGACAGAAATCGTTTTTGAATGTAAAATATCTATATTGTGAGCTATATAGTGAAGTGTTTGCCGATATCTTACTTATCTCAGCAAGTTATCAAAATGCGTTACAATGTCGATTTTTGCCTCGTATACTAAGTCTATGTCCACGACAGGGGAAAATATGTAAACAAAGGACACGAAAATATACTCGCAGAAAAACTTACCAATTGATTTAAACTGAAAACAGAGCGTCGAGGTAGGTAAATAGTACAATGAGAATAGTCAGGATGAGGCCGCGATAGTTCTACTAAACACAGCAGGAGGGAAATTACATAAAATCATGAGTGGATCGAAAAAGACAACATCAGTTTTGCAATATACATTTCTCCATAAAAGGATCGCCCACAAGTAGATTATCCTGTTTACTTTTAGCTAAAGATGAATGTCCAGCAGCATTGTTAGAACACGTTTCATGCCACCAAAACACACAAAAAGCCCCCTTTTTTTTCGTATTTGACCATAATTATTAACATTGGCTTTATGTGCATAGTTCGATCTATATGATGATCAGAAATTGGAATCAAAGTTGCAGTTCTAGTTGCAGTTATCGTTCTATCACGGATGCGAAGGTATAGTTAGAGAAATGAGGTGTACAACCCTTGGCTTTGAAGTATATGTGGGAGGAATTTTGTTCAAAACACTTCACTTGACATAGATGCTTTTTTGTATAGCTATGAGTGAGCTCATGTGCAGCCCTGCGCTGGGACCCAAGATTGTTTGTTTGGCAGGTTGTTGATGTATTTAAAAAATACAAATTCTACTTTGGTGGGTTTCTGTTTTACGCCTTCTCGCGTATTTGTTTTACTTAGATCCTTTTCGGAAGTTGCAAGGAACCAGACAATTCACGTGATTGCCATTTCCTGTATCAATTATATGGAGTGGAAACTCTTCAACGTTATCACAAGGTTTCGATCAACTCAAACGTTTCATTCTAATCGCAATATCAGCTTTTTCGGTTGATTGAACCTTAGCTATTATCCGCTTAGGAATGGGAGATTTGAAATTACTCAACTAGTATATCGCAAAATGTCACCGCGTATGCGCACCTCCCCCCCTGATGTTTTTCCAAACCACTTCTGATATTTCTAAATCCGCTAATAAGGTGAATAATGAAATTACCTAATATTTCATTATGTATTTATATTGACATGTTCAAAAGTTGATATTTTGAAAAGTATTATTGCTTCCTTTCACTACCTTATGTGATTATATCGTATTTTATATGGCATTGCATACTTACGCTTGACAGATATTTGTGTCTTATAGAGTTATAGTTATTACGTCATCTCAACCCCCCCCCCCGCCATCTCAGGTCTGGCGACGCCACTGAATTCAACACAACAAGAGGAATAATTAGGGAAAATTATAAAAATTACAAACAGACTAACATATATCATGCATAAATGTCAACTTCAGTACCATTGGTACGAAATACTTTCACTGATATCATAACACCAGAGTGTCTTGTGTTTGTCGTAGACAAGGACGTTTAGATTTATTGACATCTTGGCAGATTCATAATTGTAAAAAAACAGGCATAGGTTTTTTTTATTACTTATGTTTAATAGTTAATACCCTTAATAGTAAATTCTTAACATTTGTGCACAAACTATTTAGCGTAATTGCCATTAATATGTGTAACAAAAACGATTTACCATTTTTTCCATATCATACGTCAAACTTGCGCCATGTTTACGTATTTGACTTTTTCTGTGACCTCTATACGAGACTAAGATGTCTGTATAAAATGTGCAATTAAAACGATGTTTTTTTGCAAAATTCCCTCCAAATTAATTTCTTCGCTTCTTTTGTTAGGTCACAAGGTTGTAGCTATATACATGCAAGCTTTGATGCCAGAGAGGTTCCCAGTTAAAGTATGATTCCTTCTAATTCATCATGCAGGTCCGGCGCTACAAGCTTAATTCAGATATTCGTCTTGTACATGAATATATAACCCTCCCCCCCCCCCAATTAAGCTTCTAGCGACGGCCCTGAATTAATGTATTACAGAACTATCCACTTTGACAAAATGACTTTTCAGTCATTTTTATAAGCCACTTGGGTGATCATCGCCCAGTGAACTCTAAAAAGACTGGAACGATAACTTGGCCACCATCTTTGAAGCCAGCACTGATGGCCGCCATGAAGGCCAAAAGTTGAAATTACACCACCAAAACAACGCCGGTTTTTATACACAAATCCATCTCATCTGATCATGAATAAAAGCTTAAAACAAGCATTGACACTTAGATTTTACTAAAAAACAAGTTTTATGAACGTGAAAAGGTGCAAACCTATTTTTTTTGCGAGTTGAAGGCGAAGTTTTTTTTCGGCCCGTTCAAATACGATTCCAAAAAATACGATTTTTACGGAATTCTCACTCTCCCCAGTTCTTTTGAAGGCTTGATTTGCTCGCGCGGCTGCCGCCTTAATCAGCAAATTATATTCAAATCGGCTTCATCCAATGACTAGTCTTTATTGTTGAGTTATCGTTCCAGTCTTATTAGAGTTCACTGTCATCGCCTAATAATTTTTAAACTTGACCAATCGGTGGCCACCATTTTCGATACCTATGCACGTTTCACGTTTGTAATTTACTAATTGTTGCTTAGACTTACCGAAGGCCTCAAGTAGCTTCGAGCCATAAAATAAAAGTCTGACAATGTAACCTCGTTCGTACCCAGGGTAATTTCAGTTCACGTCAACACAGCAGAAATTGGTGTTTATGAAGTTTCAATCCGGAAATCTGATCACTGGTTGATCACAGATTGTGCATTGCTGTATCGCTTTCAAAGAGAAAACTATTGAACAACTTTAAAAAGTTCGGTTTTTCTTCCGAATACGCATTATGCAATCTTTTGACAGCTCATTATAAACATCTGAACATTTTATTAACACCATTTTGAGGCTGAAAATATACGCAAGGTTATTCTGAATTAGTAATTCAGATGATTCGTTTTTGCCGTATGCAAGCCGCTTTAAATCTTTTGTGCAAAACATATTTTGTGTACAGGGTGTATCAAAAAAAAGGTAATCCAACTTTGGTGCGCTATTGTACGTGAATTACTCATTCTATTAACGAATTTTTTTCACATTCCGAAAGGTTGGGCTTTTAACCATCGAATGACATGTTTTTGATAACAAATGGTGAAAAAATGAGCAAATAGGAGGCTGCTAAAAAGTGTTAGTCAAAATCGCATATTTCCACCTCTGAGAGTTGGGACTAAAACCATTGAAAATGAAATCTCTTTGGGATTTAAATGAAGAATTTTGCTTTTGAATAAGCGACCGCATATTCATATTAAGTAGGAATAAATCACATTAGGAGAACATTCTAAGCAATGCGGCATAAAACCAGTGCAAGCTGTGACATGTTGTGATTAATTGTTTTTTTCTTTTGTTATGCACTGCTTTAATTAGGCTCAAAGGTGAAAATATGCATTTTGACTAACACTTTTTATCAGCCTCCTATTTGCTCATTTTTTCACCATTTGGTATTAAAAACATGTCATCCGATAGTTAAAAGCCTGATCTTTCCGAATGTGAAAAAAATTCGTTCATAGACTGAGTAGTTCACGTACAATAGCGTGTTGAAGTTGGATTACCTTTTTTTTGATACACCCTGTATAGTATCTATTATTATAAAATAACATGTATATAACGCGTGTTCTGATTGGTTGAAGCCCGTGTTTGGATCAGGCCATCCAAACACGGCAATTTCGCGGGAATTTAAAAACAAATTTATTATGGTTTGTTATTTTATAAAACAATTACTTAATGGTTTCCGTGTTTGGATGATCTGATCCAAACACTTGGGAATGTTGCTCGAGTTAAGAAAAGCTCGCAAAACACTCGCCTTCGGCTCGTGTTTCGCGCGCTTTTCTTAACTCTCGCAACATTCCCGCGTGTTTGGATCAGGCCATCCAAACACGGAAACCATTAAGTAATTGTATAATCTTTTTTCTCACCAAGTTTGAAGCCTAAGTATTGAGAATTGCGGCTACGTATTTTTCAGTTTTACCAATTTCCGCGGTGCTGTTCACTAAAAAGCTTATTTCAGTACGACAAAATCATTTCACGATAATGATACGATTCGTTTTATCAGGTTTAATCTCAGCCTCAGGGGTGAGTGGTTTGAATCATGTAAACAGCCTTCGTATCATTTTTGATAAATGTAATGTTTTCCAAGTAACGTATGATCATTTTATATTTATTTAATGTTAGTATTATTTCAAGAATTGTTCCCCGCTTAGAAAGATCGATGCAGTAACGCTGAAACTTTATAAATAATATTAAACAATTTTTCAGCTTGTTAAAAAAAGAATTTATACAAAGTGTCAAAGAAAAGTGTCAAAGACAAAGTGAACGTTTTAACAAGTTCCGTGATTGTTTGAATATAAATGAATTAAATTTATTATTTAAAAACTTTTTTCGTCAAATTGTTACCATGTGAATTGTATTATTTCTTTGTTGTATTCCTCTATACTATATTGCAAAAAACTTGGCGACTATGTGCTCACGAGCGTCATTTTAGTCGAGCGTTTGGCAAATATATTTTCTCGGCATATTCTTTAGACGCCCTGTCCACGCAATCCATGGAAAAATATGCTTAATATCTTAAATTAGCTTCAACTTCTATTGTAAACTGACGGCATTACGAAAAACGAATATGAAAAGGCTCCAAAAGGTACCGCGTGCACATAGCTTTTATGTACTTTCTTTAAGAAAATAGTAAGTTTTGTTTTCCTTTAAGTAGAAATCACTAACTTTCCTTGGCTACGAAG